TTTGGGATATATTATTTCTTAAATTATGCACTGAATTACTCTACCTGTTTGATAGGGGAATAGAGTGAAGCTGTTAGAATAATTTATTATGTTTTTTCAGCATAATTATTTTGTTATTGTAGGATGTTAATTATTACACTAATATATGTATTGATTTTATTTTTAATCAGAGTAAAGTAACCTTTATATGGCCTAGTATGCAAAGCGATATGTATTTATTTTATAAATTGAAGATATATTTATAGCTTTATCCTTCACAGCTTTACTAAAATTATACTTGAATGGAGAAAAACTGAATTGCTAAAGAGCACTAAAATGGCAAAATTATAAATGTTGCAGGCTCAGTTTGGACAGTAGTTGATTACATGCTACCGTCCACAACTCCTTGGACCGGCTTAAGTAATATTCAACTTTTAGACACTAAATGGCATAATTTTAAGTTTAGAATCATCTGCAGATGTATTCATACAGTGGGTTTTTTTTCTTTGAACCTTCAGTTTGACACATTCATGCCATTCCTTGAAAAGTGCCATATGGTCCCTGAGTAAAGGAATTTGTTTGCTCTAAATAAGAAAACAATGGGCGGAACTAATTTAAATTCACAAAAGATTTTAGACAAATAAGACTTTGTGAACAGCAATAAGTGAAGTAAAGTGAGTTATATGGTTGTGGTAACTGTAAGAACTTATTGGTGGCTGTTTGAAACATCTTGTATGGCTAAAACATTAGGCACAAAGAGTCAAAAATGTTTATTTCTATTTCTTAAAAAGCAGATGATTTATTGATTTTTATTTGATGTACATGTTTAACTCTACTATAGAGATCACTCTGCTGTGTACATGTAACTGATCCTCGTTTTTACAGTACCTGTGTCTTTAAAATTAGGGATAAGTAATACTATACATGTACATGTGTATATATATTTTACTTTTTTTTTGCAAACATTTTTTTGAATGGGTTTTCTTTTTATGTGAAATAGAACAAAATTATTGTAAAATGTGACTAGAATGGTATTTTCCTTCTTTTTTTTCTGTTGATGATGTTCTCTTGGTATGGTAGAATAGTTTGGCCTGACAAAAATATTGCAGTTTTTTTTATCAATAATAAAGTCTGAAGGATGTAATTCATGATATCAGGTTGTCTGAGTTAATAAATGAGCCGTGTCATGACAAAACCAACATAGTGGGTTTGCGACCAGCATGGATCCAGACCAGCCTGCGCATCCGCGCAGTCTGATCAGGATCCATGCTGTTTGCTTACAGACCCTAAAACAAGTAAAGAAACTGATAGCGAACTGCATGGATCCTGGATGCGCAGGCTGATCTGGACCCATGCTGGTCGCAAACCCATTATGTTGGTTTTGTCGTGACGCGGCTCAAATGTATTATATGTTAACTTTTGTTTTGGAACAGACTTAAGCCTGATGAAATAAATAAAGATTTACCCTTTTTTCCATTAGCAGCATTTTTCTAAAAAAGCATTTCATTTCATATGTACTTCATGTGTGAGCGATGTTGGGCCGTCATGACAGTCTTGTTTTGTTTGTTTTTTTAAATGTACATTAATCATGTCTATGTATAGTTTCTTGTCCTGTACATACAAGGGACAGTATTGATACTCGGACATCTTCTGTTGTGTGCATTGATTCAATCATTTATTTCTACTAACATTTGCAGATGCAGTTGATCAGTGTTACATTAAACAATGTTTTATTCTAGTGTTGGTTGTTTTTAGCTTGACTTTTGGAAGAACAGGGAGAACTTTTGTACTCACCCAGGCATTGGCAAAGCCGTCACACTTAGTCAAGTTTTTGCGTGCAAGTTTGTATCTCCAAAACTACTGAATAAACAGCACACAGTTATTTGAGAGTATAATAAGAAAGGTCACTAACCAAGGTCTATAACTCTTGCAGATTTTGACAGAATTATTGCCCTTTTTGAACTTACAAAGTTCCACATTATCCAGGCACTTGTTTTACTATAAAGCACTGAGAATACTCGAGCACACTGTCCTACTGACCTCCCCTCTTTAAATGCTTTAAGTTTAGCATAATATTCATATTTCTAAGTTTTATAAGGTCTCATTATTATTACTAGTATTTGACTGAAAAGAAATGAAGTATTAATTAATGACCATGAATGATTTAATGTTCAAGGTCATAGTCAATAATTATCACTATTTTAACACCTGAAATTAATACATTGTACCAGATGTTCATGTTTAAATTTCAGACATTTCTTACAAATAATGTTGACACTTCGACTAATGAATGCTTAATGCTTGTTTTGCCTTTATTTCTTGACTTTGTGAATGAATTACTTACGAGATACTTGTAATTGATTGATGTATATTTCTGCAAAGTTTCATCATATTTATTAACAAAGAAGAAATGTAAATAGAATATTTAAAGCGCATTTCTGAATTTTAGACTTAAGAAAGTTTAAATATTGATGAGTATTTGTATAGTGATAATTATATAATGATTTTTTTTGCTGACTAAACCATTGGTATGTACATAGAATCACATAAGGTGATTCGATATATAGTCAGCTGATTTAGTTATGTCCGTCATACTTGTGTAGACTTATTATTATACAATTGAGAAAATTATACGAAAATAATTAAATGTTGAAAATCTGTTGTGTTCCTTTTCTTTTACTAGATTTACATAGTCACTGACCTAGAGTAGGGTCTTTCAAATAGAATTTTTTGTCAATGAAATATCCTGCCAAGAGTAAGGAATTGAAAGCGTATTCATCACCCCGTGCACATACGCTGACATGGTATGTACAGCACATTTTCTAAATGCATGACACTGTTGTATGACAGAAGGGTGGTAACAGTGACACAGGTTCAATTAACAAAGGAATTATTGACCTTCAATTACCATATATGCACCCCTCCCACAGGTAGATATCTAAACACTAAAAAAAAATACATAGCGTTTGAGAAAAGTAGACAAATTTGAATTTTGGATTTACATGGTACTTTATACAGAACCTCGGCCTAAACCGACAGTTATTAGTCATTTTGGTTGAAGTTGTTGGTATCGAACTCTTGATTCTTGGATTTACAGTCAGTGTGAGCACTTTACTACTGCGTCCCCCAGGTCCAAATTGTAAGCAGGTCAAATACAATGTACGAGGGTGGGTCAATATGTAATGTAATGTTAAGTATATTTTCTAATTTAGCTGGTTATTCTTGTTTTTGTGTAAACTATGCTTTGCTTTAAAGCATCTGCTTTTAAATGATACCATCATTAACCGATTTAGATTTTTCTTCACATTTAAAATACCCTACATGAGTAACTTCATGTAAAATATAGCTGGTAAATTCTCATCAAAAAGTGCTAAAAGCTCGAGCAATACTAGGAAAATATGCTATAAATATTTAAAATGAATTTGTAATATTTATGGCAGCAATGAAGTACATGTTGGAGGTGGATGCATAATTTTTTATAAAAAAAAATGGCACACGAGTCAATTAAATATGTAAGTCTGGTAGAAAACGCGCCATAGTATTGATAAAAAGATTTTTAAAGTCAAGCTTATCATTAACAAAGCTGCCATACTTTCACTTACCAAGACAGCCCTATCAGGGATTTCAAAAGGGTAAACTCAAACGATTCTGAAAAATCACTTGAAAATTAGACGATGCCTGATGGATAGCCCATTTACTAACATCTGACCAGAAGAAGGAGCGAGTTAAAAATCATAAAAATTGTTTCGTAAATAAAACAGTCGCCGTTTTTCTAATATGCCAGCTGATGAAAGCTGGTTTCACTATTTTATGCCGGTTTACAAGTGTAACAATAAGATTTTAGACATCAAAAAATGTTTACCGAACATGCATTGCCAAGCGACTGACTAAGTGTCAAGAATGTTATGCACTTTTTTTCTGTTGTCCAAATTACTGTTCCTATAAAGGCTGTTTTGTTCTGATATGAAAATGTTATGCAATGTACATGTATATACATGTATATTGTGTCAACAACTGACTTCTACAATTCTATATGCGGACAACCCTGCAAATCGGATACCGAAAAATATATAACATACAAAAGATGGCACTTCGAGTAATAATGAAACAGCATGTAATAAAAAGAGTATTCAAAAGCCTAGATCTTCTTACTTTTGAAAACAGATGCAATTACCATATACCGGTACCACATGTGCTCATCGTATGTTTTTTTTAGTGAATGTTATCTGACACCAACAAAAATATATGAACTACTAGTTTTTTTCTCGTTATGATAGATATAATCTTCGCTCTAAGGTACATAAAAACTTTCTTCAAGCCACACACAAAAAAACAAAAAAAAATACAAAGCAAAAAGAAGAAAAAAACAACAACAAAACAGGGAATCAACCGACATAAAGATGTTTGACATAAAGGGAGTGGATAAATCGGGATTTATATAACATGTGATGAAGATCTGCATGGACCAAAAACTTGCGTGCAAAATTTCAGAGCATTCGCTCACTACGCTTTTTCAGAATAGTTATTCTAATTGTGAAAAATGACCTTAAATTAAATAAAAGACTTTTAAAGCAAACCGGCTTGAGAATCGCACACAGATATGATTTTCAGTTTAATTTTTTATTATCTTTTGCAAGTGTTTCCCATTTAAGTGTTCCAATTCATCTAGGTAAGATATTCAAATTTTAACTTTATAGGCATTTGGACCTTAGAGGAGTTCCTTTAAGAATGTCTTATTGTTGTCGAGAGAAGTAGAGGCTATTTAAAGAAACAAATTGTTAAATAATTTGATTCACAGCTCCAACCCGACTAAAATAGAGAAAAAACGGAATCACTAAAAAACGACCAAAATGAAAATGTTGCAGGCTCGGTTTGATTGACCTTGTTCATGGACGGTACTGTACTGGAAAGTGCAAGTTATCGTCCACGCCCCCTAGCATCGGCTTAAACTTTTGAATTTAGAAACAACCGCAGATGCATTCAAGATTATTATTCACAAAAACATTCGAACGTCATTAATTGGTGTCTATTTTTAGATGCCGTCACACTTAGTAAGACGCCATTTTATTGTTGACGTCACTAACCAACAGTTGGGCGTCAGTAGCAACGTACAAACAAAAAGATGGCGCCGTTATAACTCCGGTCCTTTTATCTGTTGTCATTTTCTTCGCCTCCTCATGAAGGAAACGGCGTTGGAAATTGTAGGGAGGTGCAAACGATGGTAAGTGAACATCTATGCACAAATCAATTTGTTTACAAGTATGTTCTATTATTTAAAGTATATCTATTAATGTTAAACCCCTCGCGGGGGCGTAGACATGACTTTAGATTAGTCACTACAGAGAAAGCTATGAGATACAAGGGAATCCAGGAACCAGTCCTTAGCTCTGCTCTTATTGAATAGACCCATTGGTTCTTTTACATGCCCAGTGTATAACACTGATACATGCGACGATTACCTGGATTTCTTACCATTACACCTCTAGGTAGGTGGGAAATACTGAAGTGTCTCTGAAAAAAGCCCAAGGGATCGAACCCGGGACCTCAGGAGTGACAGCCAGTGGTCTAACCAACTGAGCTATCGCGCCACCTTTTATATTTTACTGTTTATAAGTGGTGATTTCTACCAAACATAATTATATGAGTTCAAGAGTTAAGAAAATATATGATTCATTTTTCTCCATTCATATGAAAATATGTACATGGTAATACAGTTAAATCAATTGCAATTTTTACATCCCTTAACAATTATACCAGCACTTCGGAGAGCACATCTAGTTTAGCGGACCCCGGAAGATAAACAATATTGGTTAGTGGCTGTGCCCCCCCCCCCCCCCTCTCCTTAGGCTATAGTACATTTTATTCCTTTATGCCGTAAATGACACTTCCGGCGTATAGTTTCGTAGAAGGATTTGAAAATTATTTTTTCCACAATTGATGCCACATTCTCACTTTTTTACACATTTATGAACATTTTTGTGAATATTTATGGAAACTAATTTAAAAAAATGAAGAGTTTATACAATTTGTAGTTATGGGGAAAGTCAGAAGGCCTACAAGCAGGAAAAGACCCAGCTTATGGCGAAAAGAAAGACAGAGTATCAAATGGTAAATATCTAAAACATAATCAATGAAAACATTCATATGTAACTGGAAGGTGAAGAATCATGTATCAATTTTCTCGCTACAGAATAGTGAACATTTTGAACATTGTATTCAGTATTTGTAGAAAAATTATGTCCTTCCTTATAAATATATAGAGGATATTCAAGTTTTTTTTCTATAGATACGGGGTTTATTTTCTTCAAATGATATAAAATGTGAAAAATCCATACCAAAAAATAAATCTTGTATGTATAGAAAAAAACTTGATTTTTTGGGGGTAAATTATATACTTTTTTCTCTTTTTCGACCCTACAACTGGAAAGACTTATCATTTTTCTGTATGTTGGCTATATGTAGTCAGGCGAAAGACAAGTGGAAAAAAATTTCACCGCAGTGAAAATACATTTTTACAGTGAAAATACGGAAAATGAAAACAAAACATACATTTTATTCTATCAATATTCCTAAACAATTCATTTGTAAGTATATAATAAATATTTTTCTTCTGAATATTTACCAGTATATTAAAGAAGATTAACATGTATTATATTAGACTCAGCATTTTACTGATATGCCACACATGTTACGTAATTAACAAGAAAAAGTATTTAATAATAAAATGACGATCAACATTATAATTGATAATGATATTTCTGAAACTTCTGAACCTTGGTGTAAACTAAAATTACTATCAAACACGAAGGCCCAGATCGTACTTTAAATGAAGGAAGAACAAAGAAACGGTCTTGTTCTGCGTTTGCTGGGATTTTTACATTTTGCTCTTGTTTTACGTATGTTTTTATGTGCAATATCTTGTCATTGTAAAAGAGATAAACAATGAATGGTCATTGTAAAAGAGATAAACAATGAATGGTTATTGTAAAAGAGATAAACAATGAATGGTTATTGTAAAAGAGATAAACAATGAATGGTTATTGTAAAAGAGATAAACAATGAATGGTTATTGTAAAAGAGATAAACAATGAATGGTTATTGTAAAAGAGATAAACAATGAATGGTCATTGTAAAAGAGATAAACAATGAATGGTCATTGTAAAAGAGATAAACAATGAATGGTTATTGTAAAAGAGATAAACAATGAATGGTTATTGTAAAAGAGATAAACAATGAACGGTCATTGTAAAAGAGATAAACAATGAATGGTTATTGTAAAAGAGATAAACAATGAATGGATGAACGAGCGATTAAACAAAAAACAAACAAATAAATAAACGAATAAACGATCGAGCGGAAGCAAAAATAAACGAGCAAACAAATAAATAAATAGAGGATATTCAAGCCACGTTATTTTCTATAAATGCAAGATTTATTTTCATGGAGTGGTATGAAAATAAATATTTCACTAGTGGCAATAGCCACGAGTAAAATATAATTATTTTTAACCACAAGGTGAAAATAAAACCTATTTTAAAGAAAAAAACTTGAATTTTCTGGGGTTTTTTTTTAAAACCTTTTCCCTTTTTAACCTTATGATTCGAAAGTTTAAATTTTGTGTATTGGCTGAATTTCAAAGAGAGTAGTCCGACAAGACACCAGTGAAAATGTGTAAATTATGCTTCTCTACAATGAAAAATAAATTTTTACAGTTACAATATGGAAAATGAAAATACGCATTTTATTTCAGTAATAGTTCAAAATATTACATTTACAAGTATAAATGAGCCGTGTCATGACAAAACCAACATAATGGGGTTGCGACCAGCATGGATCCAGACCAGCCTGCGCATCCGCGCAGTCTGATCAGGATCCATGCTGGTCGCAAACCCATTATCTTGGTTTGTCGTGACACGGCTTAAATAATTGTCTTAATTAACATTAAGGTTTTTAAAGAATATCTGTGGCAACCCAGAACTCAAAGTATGAAACCTCCAGCGAGAAGAATATCCAATGACAAAAACAGATCTCAGACACAGAAGAAAACAATCTACGGTACAGATTTTGTTCAACACCAGGTAAGTGTATATTCATTCGTTTCCTTCCAGCCGCAAATATTGTTATTTACATCTCTAAACCACAGTGTTTTTAGTTTGTTTGTAAAAATAAATCTCACCAAAAAAACTTAAAAAGCCTCGATTTTGCCTTCAAAATCCCTCGATTTTGCCTTCAAAATCAATAATTATTATGTAAAAATAGAATTATTGTATAAACTCACTGGTTATATTTTTATAAATAAATTTTTCTTTATAAAGGTTTAGAAAACAAAAAACGAAATCGTCTGCCCTAACTTTTGTGCAGATACTTTTTCTTGCGTATGACAATACGTAAAGAGGTCTGATTAATTGTTGCAAGTTTGACAAATCGTACTTGACTCGTGTAAAGTTTTCAAAAAACTAGTTCAGAAAAAATGTGACAAAACTTTTTTTCTCCATAAAAGTAAATGACTTCTCTATCCAATTATGGTCCTTTCATTATACCTTTATTTGATTTGTTTTTAAAAAGCACCGCTATTTGGTATTTTTATATAATACTATGTTTTTTTACATATATGTCTGCCTGAAATTTGATTCCGATATGTTAATGTTTTACTGCATCATACATGACTATTTAAACTTTAAAATGTTGTTATATCATGGCCAGATTTTATTCATTTTGGCTCAATTTTTAAAACATTTTTTTTTTTTGGGGGGGGGGGGGGGGGGGTTGTTCCGAAAACAGAGAATCATATATGTTGGCTTAAAGAAAATAAGTTCGTTAACCATAATATGAGCCGCGCCATGACAAAACCAACATAATGGGCTTGCGACCAGCATGGATCCAGTCCAGCCTGCGCATCCGCACAGTCTGATCAGGATCCATGCTGTTCGCTATCTCTACTTGTTATATGGTTTGTAAGCGAACAGCATGAATCCTGATCAGACTGCGCGGATGCGCAGGCTGGTCTGGATCCATGCTGGTCGCAAACGCAATATGTTGGTTTTGTCATGACGTAGCTCATATGTGTGTAATAATAAATTGCGTATTAATCCAAAAATTACAAGAAAAAATAAGATGACCAGTAATCTTCTTTAGAACGTGCAATATGAATTTATAACATTTAGAGCATGTAAGATGATTTTAACCTGAAGAAATTAGAGATTTATGTAAAATAATTTGTCATCAACGTAGCAAACAGTTAACAAAAAGGTTTTTTGACTTCCACACACAATACTAAATCACTATTACTGTACAAAAAAATAAGTAACTTTTTGGAAACTATAAACGAACACCAAAACTAAAAATATTTTGGGGAATAAGAATAGAAGCATTTCTGAGGCATAATAAGGCCTTTAACAACAATAGTACTCATCGAACTAAGTGATTTTCTCAGAGAAACATTATTTTTATTTAGAAACTGTAAGCAATGACCATCTTGGCTTATTTCCCCTATTCTTCCCCAGATGCGTTGCCGGGTTACAATTAATTGACCTATACACAATATGTTTTATGTCATCTTTTTTTTTCTTTTCTTTTCTTTGGCTTTTATTAATTTACTCCTAAACCGACAATGTGTAAATAGAATAACGGTCAACATTTTGTTTCTCCATTCCTTTCAAAATAAGTTGCCGAAGAAAATAACCCCAAAGAATTACAGGACGAAAAGAAGCAAGCATCTGGCTCAATTTGAAATGAACACCGACTACCAAGAATATTACCCGAAGGTAAGATGTATACATAAAGGCCATACAACATGTCACAACGAATTTATAAGGCAACCCTCTTTTTTACAAACGCGCAGCAAATATAAGTAAATATATCGTGCACCGTGCGGTTAATAAGTTCACTTTTTATTCATTAACCCATTACTTCATGAGCATTTTGTGAAAAATGGCTGTTTTCATTGAAAAGTCTCCCGTTACAAGTTCAAATTGTTATTAAACTATAAAAACTGCCTCAATACTAATCAAACTTGGCACAAATGTAGACTGAACCATTGCCTTTGTAACAACATGCCCAGACTTAAATTTCCTGTTACCATAGCAACGAGGGAACATCTCAAAATTGCCAAAATCACTATTTTGCCTTGATTTTTTTCCATCAAAATTGATTTCAAAGTGCTGCAACTTCTCAATGGATTGAGATAGAGTCAACTGCTTTTCAGCGTTGGTTACACGTTACATTATGATCAATCTAGGGTCATTTTTAGCCTCTCACAAGTCAAAAAATTTCTTGGCGATGAGGGGGACTACCGCCCCCTTCAAACCCCCCAAACAGACAGGGGCACATCCCCCTTATGGCAACCCTTTGATGTATCACTTTTTTAAACAACATTTCTCAAACAAAAACAAGTGTTGGGGGCCTAAATAAGGCATTTTTTTCACCATTTGAGACAACAATAAAGGGGGGGGGCGTGAAAAAAGGCGTTAAAAGGCGTGTATATCGGGTATTGGGTTAAGCCATTTGTGTGCATGTTATTGTATTCTTAAACGTATATTTTACATTCTATTGTTAAGTAAGCACCTGAACAAAATAACGTTGACTATTGACTCACAATACAAAAAACTATTATACAAGCTACTGTAGCCAGAGATGAACTGAAAGGTCAACTTGCATATGTCATGTAATGAAAAATGTTGTTTTTTTTTTACAGAAATCATTGATCAGCAGTTTATGCGGTGAAAAAGTTGAATTCGCCAAAGTTACACACCCTTCAGATAGCCCGCCTTTCCAGTCTGACACCATCTATAATGTAAATATCTTTATTTGTTAAATCAAGCTTAAAGTGTTGTTGCAGTTGAAACAAACAAAACTAAAAATAAGTAGAGGATATTTGTTTGTTTTTGCAGTTGAAACAAACAAAACTAAAAATAAATAGAGGCTATTTCTTTGTTGTTGCAGTTGAAACAAACAAAACTAAAAATAAATAGAGGATATTTGTTTGTTTTGCATGTCAGATCGAAAAATATTTACTGAGTGGACACAAGGTGCAATATTTATACGTAACTTATTCCTTTTTTTTTATTTAAATATAGTCCGCCTACAGTGAAAATTATCAAATATAGTTTTACTTTCTACTGCATAGCATGTAATAAAAGTAACAATTAGGCGCTGCTGAAATAAACAAAACAAAAAATAAAATGCTTTAAACAGCTAAGAGGGATGCGAATGAATCTGTTTAAAGCGTTTGATGATTATATTTAACGTCCACCTTGATGTTTTTCATAATAGCGTCCACCTGGCTTCTGAAATCATTGCCCTACGTTAACAATGCCGCACAGTTTTCCAAATAGAAAAAATAGATGTGACGTTCAAATGACTAAACGGTAAAATAAACGCTGTTGAACACAGATTTATGCAATAGACAATTCTTATAGTTTTACAATTCCGACAGTTTTATATTCGCTTCCGTACATAAATCGGCGTGAAAAGATGAATAACATTTCGTCGAGATTTTAGCATTATTTATGCAAGCTCCTTGTCCGGTATATACCGGAATACGAAATTTAATGTGGTGCTTCGATTTAGCCATTGTCATTTCAGAATGCATATCCTTCCTACGACGTTGCTACGATGACTGAAAGAAAGCAATCTCCTATAAAAGGAAAAGATAACATAGAAATTTCGACCAATCATAAACCACCCGTAGAGGTAAATAATTAGCTTTAATCTGTACACACAAAATGAGGTTATACCATGTATAAATTTTTGACCCTGAAAATGGAAATCAGGCGATATGGAGTAAGATTTGCATTTGATATACATGTTGTGAACTCTAAAAATGAAAACGAGGCTGTAAGTGGTGTGCTATGCATCTGATATAGATATTTTGGACCCTGGCTGCAATTAAAACGCGGCTATATGGATTGCGATATGCGTTCGATATGGGTGTTGTGGACTTTGGCCTTTTAAACGATCCGATAATGATTTCTATTAGAACATCACCTGGTTAAAACGGTTATATCTTATTAGGCGTTAACATGCACATTTTCTATATGCATACTGTATAGTTCTGCAATTAAACTTCAAAGAACCATAACCAAAAAATTGTTCTTATTTATCTGATTTTTCAAACAAAATGGCGCCCACAATGTGAAAATAGACAGGGAGATAATAAGAACGGCGATTGCATTGTTGTAGAATAATGCACGCTTCGGGCCTTCTTTGTTTATATAGAAAAATTTCCGATAGTGTTAGAATGCATAATAACACACACTTTCGGTTCTTCTATATTCAATATTAGTGAAAAATGCGGGTCGTGTTAGAATAGGCGTTAACGTGCACATTTTCTATATGCATACTGTATAGTTCTGCAATTAAAATTCAAAGAACTATAAGCTATGAAACATTTAAATATTGAAATGCAAAATGCAGCTTTCCAAGTGAGTCAATAGTTTTGTTTTTGTCTGGGAGAGAATTGCGTGGCAATGCCGTTCATTGACATCTTTAGATCTAATTGAAATGTTACAGAGTGCGACAATAAGTTGTTAATTCTTGAGAGAGATTCTGGATCTTGCGCAAAGTTTACATACGACGGAATTTATTCCTGTTGATAATTCCATTTAGTTATGAAATATAATTTCATCCACATTTAAATATAGTCCGCCTACTGTAACAGTGAAAATTTGCAAATATAATTTAACTGTGAAAATTATCAAATATAATTTTACTTTCTACTGCAAAGCATGAAATAAAAGTAACAAATAGTCGCTGAAATAAACAAAACAAAAAATAAATCATAGAAATATAAAAATAGATGTGATGTTCAAATAGTTAAATGGTAAAATAAACGCTGATGAACACAAATTATTTGAAAGAAACACAAAAATCCGATTTTTTTTTTCAAATTTAGGCTAAGAAATTGAACAAATAAGTGGGTCAAATGTTAAAGCAACTTTCAAGCTTACATGTACACGTTTGTGTTCTAAACAGGCACCAAACTTAGCAGTAAATAAGCAGAAAACCTTACTTTTTGATTTAACTCACTACAGTGTAGGAACAGTCCCTCTAGACGCTTGCAGAAATCATGATCATAAAAGTAAAACATATTGCATTTTTCGCCGATTCTTACAGTTTTCATTTACTTTCGTATATAAATCGGTGTGAAAAGATAAATCAGATGTCTTAAAGTGCATTTCGTCGGGTGAAAAGACGAGATTTTAGCATTTAATCATTCAAGTGCCTTGTAGCGGAATGCGGAATTTAATGCGGAATGCGGAATTTAATGCGGTGCTCCAAACACTTTTTTAGTCTAATTCCTAACGTTTAAACAATTGTCATTTCAGAATGCATATCCTTCCTATGACATTGCTACGATGACTGAAAGAAAGCAATCTCCTATAAAAGGAAAAGATAACATAGAAATTTCGACCAAACAAAATCCACCCGTAGAGGTAAATAATTTGCTTTAATCTGTACACACAAAAAAATGAAGTTATAAATTTTGATTGAGGCGATAATTATGGAGTATGATTTGCATTTGATAAACATGTTGTGAACTCTGAAAATGAAAACGAGGCTGTAAGTGGTGTGCTATGCATCTGATATAGATATTTTGGACCCTGGCAATTAAAACGCGGCTATATGGATTGCGATATGCGTTCGATATGGGTGTTGTGGACTTTGGCCTTTTAAACGATCCGATAATGATTTCTATTAGAACATCACCTGGTTAAAACGGTTGTATCTTATTAGGCGTTAACATTGACATTTTCTATATGCATACTGTATAGTTCTGCAATTAAAATTCAAAGAACCATAAGCTATGAAACATTTAAATATTGAAATGCAAAATGCAGCTTTCCATGTGAGTCAAATGTTTTGTTTTTATCTGGGCCGCACAAACTCTCAGGTTATATATTGGCTTTCCAGCTAAACTGATATGAAGACCTCAGCATGCCCCTCTGTGCATTATTTATGTCAGGAATGGGCAGCTGAGTAGAACCAACGACGCTTTGTAAGCTAGCTGTTAAAATAATTTAATTTATGTCCGTTGCGGGATTTGAACCCAGAGTGAGTGAGGGGGCAAGAGGTTTAAAGTCAATAACGTTAACCACTCGACCAATCGTCGAGCAGTAGTTTTGAAGAGTATCAGTCTATAAAACATCTTGTACATTAGCAGGAGGTGGAGCAACTTATGCCCGTTAAAAAGTCAGTCAGGTTATACACTGTGGAAGAGCAGGAGGAGTTTGAAAAGGGATTCAAGTCTATGTGTACGTATGCTAAGAAATAAATTATAATGCAGGGCATTTATAGTACCGGTATTAAGGTAATTACCAAATCAAAGCAAACAAAACTTGAACATTATTCAAATTGCATAAACAAAACGATAAAATGTATAGATCTTTTTCTATCTAAAACAGAATGGACATGGTGCTCATATAAAGCATGCTTCTAACATTTTCTAAACGAACTGCTCATCATTAGGAAATGTACAATTTTGATAACAAATTTTTTTGTTGATGCCAAAGTTATCCCGTGCACACAAAAGTTATGACGTTTAACACGCAATAAATAGCAAAGCATATTTGGCGTGCAATAAGACATTCAGGTATTCTGACAAATTCTGTAAAGCTGGAATGTAGAACTGACATTGTTTTATTTAACTCGTTCAATAGAATGACTTATGTAATATTAAGAATATATATAATAATATTAAAGGCCACTAAGAGCAGCGTGGGATTACGCTATGTCGTGAAACGCATGTGACGTCATGTAGAATATGACAGCACGCTCATGTCATTCCGTTTTTACCCAGTTGCAAACAACTGCAGAGATATAAGATAAATGAAGTTCGGGCCAATACTTAAATGCACAAAAAAGGTCCATCAAGCCTTTGCCTACCATGCGTGAATTTTATGTAGTAATAATAATAATAATAATAATAATAATATCTTTATTTAAAGAAGGTTACACATTAAGAACATACAATAACAATCATATATATCTTATTTCCAATGTGGCCTTCTGAAATAGATTGGTTGATCGTTTTGAACTGGTATTGAAATTTGATTTTTCCCCATCAAATGTAGACACACAGAAATTAGAAAAGAGCCCCCAGAGCATGACGTTTGACGCAGTTTCAACTGTTATGGCTGATTTTACTAAACCAGAAGGCTTTGAAAGACCAGTATCATATAAGCCACCTGTCCAAAGTCGCTATAGTACTGAAAAGTTTGATGACGAAACAATATCTAGTATGGCGTATAAACCATTTCCGGTTAAGCCTTACGAACTTCCGATCTGGGCTAAGAAACCAAAATACAAACAGCCTGAAGGAGGCATGTGCATGAATACTCTTTACATGGTAAGTGGCATAATTGTGGGATATGCATTTTGCATAAATTGCAATATGTTTCGGTTTAACTTCACAAAATCAGACATGACTGATTGTAACGATAAAAAAATTAATTTTAAAATGGACCATCTATAAATAGTTCACCTGTTTATGTTTTTTTACGCTTTGGTTTTGTATAAATGAACAAAGTCATGCTTGCTACAGACCAGGAAACGTTTATGATACAATTTGTATGTTAAAACTCAATTTTTTAGTTAATCTCACATTTTATTTTCAGCATGAATTCCAGTCTCCAAATGTAGTTAGGCCCCCATCCCCTGCACATCCACGCGTGAAACGAAAAAGAAATGTTGTCATCCTGAAAGACATCGATACAGTAAAGTGTGAGTCATTAAGTACATACAAACAGGACTTTCAGAAGTGGGCAGATGTGATACCTCGCGAGACATATCGGCTGATAGAATTTTACCAGCCCCCTAAAGAGAAGATGATGTTGGAAACCAACCATAGAGCTGACTTCAAAGGTACATTAAGCTTTATCAGATTTTGTTAGTTTTTTTTTTTTCAGCTGAAGACTCTAATGATTACTTTGGTGAATATCAGCGGGCTGGGGACTTGGCCTAAACATTTCTCTTGTGCGTAACTCCTACAACATTTCTCAAAGGACTTCAATCACTTCTTTAGCGTGACATGCCGCATATGGTCGGGAATATTTGATTTGAAAAATTTGGCAACCTCATGGACATTGGCCATTTTCCCATTCTAAGAATATAATGTTATATTGGTTGAAAACCTACAATTGTTAACCGAAAGCTGGATATTTTCGTCTATCATTCCTATTTTTGCATATTACATACAGATCATGTTTTGGAAAGAAGTTTTTAAAAAAAAAATAACAACAAGAAACAACAACAATATTTCATATTCGCACGTTTTCTTGTTAAAACGTTTGAGCACGTAAGTCTTTCATAAAATGCGCGCAGAAGTGACGCCAATAAAGCACGCAACTTGTCTTACATAGGACGGGGTTTTCTAGTACATGGGTATGCAGTTGGAACTCCTGTCTGATATACTTTGTGTTCAACTAGCTTTAATCATTCAGTTGTACACTTGATTATTGTTCAACGTCTGAGAAAAATCAGCATGATTACGGAAACTGACAATTTGTAAATGTGATAAGACTTTTTGGCGCCATTCACTTTGAAGCAGACGTACGGTGCGTCCCTATATTAATTGTTATTTAAATGAAGCCTACCGAAACTGTCTATGCTAGTTTTTTATGAAGTTTGTCTACTTCTTCATTTATCAATTCTTTAGGAGAGAAAGTAGACAAAATGAAACCATGCCGTCTAATATCACAACACCGTGAACTAGATACTCAAACTGATATGACGCTGATAACCACTTACACAGAGACTTTCCAAGACCCTCGTCTAAAAAGATCACGGACTCGCAGATCGTTTTCGGCAATGCAAAAGAAACCAACACTGGAAAAAATACCCAGACCTGTCACGACCGGAGCTATCCCAAAGCCTAATTTAAGTTCCTATCCGGTATTAAGCAAACCAATGTCTGTAAATACCACCGCAAATTAGCCGGGGTCAAGTTCGGATCTCGTGGACATTCTTTAGATTGACATTTGCGATAAATGCAATAAGCAAAAGCCCGGATGTGATTGTGATTTTTGATAACGTCTTTTTTATTGTTTATACATCATTTTGATATCGCTAGCATGTACTATTTTTGATATGTATGCCATTTATAATACTTAAAGACATGTTGTAAAGATGTCTACCATTTGTTCAGGTAAACATTTATATTGAAAATTTACGTATTTATTTACATTGCTTTAAATTTCTTAGTATATACACAATTTACATTTTTGACACCCAAAAACATGTTTTATACATTTTTTGTACTATTGTGCAACATTAAATACACAACTATTCTTGCTTCATTTATATTTTAACTGACCAATATTGCAACGTGTCATTTGCCAAACAAATTCTTACAAAAATAAAGCGTAAAAGTGATCCTGGGAGAAAATTTGGTTCGCATCCAAAATTGAATTTAAAGCTACACTGGTAATCATTCGGATTAAAATTGTAATTAAGGAATCTAGTTATGAATTAGAAGTAAATCTTTGGTTGCTGCTCGCCATTACGCGACAATGGCCCGAAGATGCACATTATGACCTGAGGGATGCAGGCCCGAACAATAATGCCAAGTAGCAAGGCTGCCAAAATTGCATAATGACCTTGATCTTGCCGTAATGTCATTGAATTGCCCTAAATTGCGTTACTATATATATAGAGGATATTTGTTTAGTTCAGTGTAAGATCGGAATATATTTCACCGAGTGAGCACCAAAAGGTATATTTCACGAGTGGCGAAGCCATGAGTGAAATATGAACTTTTGGTGTTCACAAGGTGAAATATATTTCGATTTTACACTAAACTAAACAAATTTTCTTTTTATTTTATGCAAATAAACGTTTTAAAAAGACATTAAACCTAATACTGAATGAAAAGCGTGCAAAATAATAATACAACGTGACGTCATTTACGACGGCATGTCATTAAGTTGGTACCCAGTACTGTGCACGCTGGTATTTCACTGAAACAACGTAAGGGGCTTAAATTCAAAACAGTGAAATTATCAAAGTGGTAATTTCACTGTTTCAAACATATTTCTATAAACCACCGAAAAGCATGTTTTGTTTGTTTGTTTGTTTGCTTCATTTTTACGCCTTTTTCAACAGTATTTCAGTCATATAGGCGGGTAGTTTCCTAACCATCGTTCCTGGAGAGTTACACCAGTACTAGACTACCTTCCTCCGCGCTAAACTACCAAAGCATCTCCCGGGGATCGAACCCACGCCAGAGAGGTAACTGGATTAGAAGTCATCGACTCTAACCCCTCGACCACGGAGGCGGTCCCGAAAAGCATGTAATAAAAATAAAAAATAGGTAAAAAGTAACATAAGCAGTCGGTAACACGATAATACTACTAACAGTAATCTAAAGTTGAAAAGAAAGCAACCATCTCCAATTTTGCTCTCGTGGAAAAACTGATAAATTCCACAAAAACCGTTTGTGTTGTTTTGGCTGACCAGACTTCCAACTATCGTTCATTGTGATGTTCTAAAGCTGGCCTCAATTGCAATCTGACACTCGGATAAAAAATATGCTAGAGTTAAAATAATCTTCAAGTAAATTTTTATTTATAAATATAACCATTTATTATATACTTATAAATGAAATATTGAGAAATATTGATGAAATAAAATGCGTATTTTCATTTTCCGTATTTTCACTGTAAAAATTTATTTTTCACTGCAGTGAAACATATTTTCCGTATTTTCACTGGTGTCTTGCCGGACTACTTTCTTTTAAATTCTACCAGTACACAAAATTTAAGGGAAAGTTTTTCAAATTTTATCGTAAAAAAGAGAAAAATGTACATAATAAACAGAAAATTCAAGTTTTTTCTATAAATACATGATTTATTTTCATCTTGTGGCATGAAAATTACCATATTTCACCCGTGGCTACCGCCACTCATGAAATATTTATTTTCATACCACTCGATGAAAATAAATCATGTATTTATAGAAAAAACTTGAATATCCTCTATAGCTTTTAAAAAAGCGGGTTAAATGTTGGCCTTACACTATGAAAAAAATTCTTATTATTCTTATTATTTCTTCTGTAAACAGTTCTTATTTTTGCGTATGTGAAAAAATACTATTTTATTTTATTACATGCTTTTCGGTGGTTTATAGAAATATATCAGTGATATAAAAATGGTAATTTCACTGTTTGAAACAGTGAAATTACCACTTTGATAATTTCACTGTTTTGAATTTAAGCCCCTTACGTTGTTTCAGTGAAATACCAGCGTGCACAGTACTGGGAACCAACTTAATGACGTGACGTCGTAAATGACGTCACGTTATATTATTATTTGGCGCGCTTTTCATTCAGTATTAGGTTAAATGTCTTTTTAAAACGTTTCTTTGCATATAATAAAAAGAAAATTTGTTTAGTTTAGTGTAAGATTGAAATATATTTCACCTTGTGAACACCAAAAGTTCATATTTCACTCGTGGCTGCGCCACTCGTGAAATATACCTTTTGGTGCTCACTCGGTGAAATATATTCCGATCTTACACTGAACTAAACAAATATCCTCTATATATACTTATCAATGAAATATAAATGAAATAAAATGCGTAATTTCATTTTCCGTATTTTTCACTGCAGTGAAACATATTTTCCGTATTTTCACTGGTGTCTTGCCGGACTATTTTCTTCTAAATTCAGCCAATACTCAAATTCAGGGGAAAATCTTTCAAATTGTAATATTAAAAAAAGAAAAATGTATAAAATAAACAGAGAATTCAGTTTTTTTTCTATAAATACAGGATGTGGTATGAAAAATATTTAATGAGTGGCGATAGCCACGAGTGAAAATATAATAGTTGCTGTTCACGAGTGAAATATATTTCATTCTAACACTATCGGAAATTTTTCTACATAAACAAAGAAGGCCAGAAGCGTGAATTATTCTACATTAATACACTTGTTACTATATATAGTAACAAAATTGCCTATGATTTCAACTGATTATGAGTGTCACGTGACCTATTATGAGTTTGCGGCCCGGGGCCGAGAACTAGTTATCAGCCCGCAGAACATGTGCACGTGCACAAACTGAAACAATGACGTCATATTTTACGTCATCAAACAGTTAACTGTAAAAGTGAAAGTAGGTTGTCAGCACTAATTGCTTTATTTTTATTATGAGAGCTTAAGCGTATTTAGTACAAACACATTTTTGTTACTATTGAAATTTGAAGAAATAATATGACAAATTCATTCCGAAAAAAAATGAAAATAAAACTTGCTTCTAGATTCTACTGCTTTCAACACACAAACAGTAAACATCTAGAGCTGTACAGAACAGTAGAAGAGTAGACAAGAATTTCAACGAAAGAACTTTGTTGTTGTATTTTTTAAAAAAAAATGCTACTAGAATCTATTAGATCTACAAAGTGTATTAAAGACATTAATACACGTCATAGTAGGGCCGGGAGGTGATAATCGGCCCTGAATGAATAATGGCCCTCGGGCTAAAGCCCTCGGGTCCATTATTCATTTTGCGGGTCGATTATCACCTTCCGGCCCTCTCCTGCCGTGTATTAACCTCTTATTCTAACACGACCCGTATTTTTCCCTAATGAACATAGAAGAACCAAAGTGGGTGTTATTATGCTATAAAATCACTGTTTGACGTTCTATATTTAGACATGTGACGTAATCATTATACACGTGACGTAAGCACTAAAAATGTGACGCGCTGACAATGAGTACGGAAACAAATCAGGCGCAATTTAGCTAAATATCAGGTACGGCAGCATTTATTTGTTGATGTCGTGTTAGAATCGAAATAATATATCCAAATCGGTGATTTTATTGCTTGATAACATCACTGTTTACGCCCATTCTCAATAAAATAAAGCATTTGAGGTTGAAAAATATCAAACATTTGATGTTGTCATTGTGTCATTTTTTATCGCTGAATATTTTGCAAGTTTGGCAGAAATATTTTTAACAAGAAGCTTATAATATAACAGGATGGCATTTATTTCGGTAATGACACTGTATTTCCTCGGTAACGTAGATTACAGATCTAATAATGTAACATATTGGCTGCATATTGAATAACAAATGTCTGTAAAAATAATATCAAAATCTGTAAATTCTCTATCTAGAGGAACTTTCTAACCAGGAAAATTCAAGAAAGTTGGGTACCTTGCAATTTTCAGTTAATTTCTTCACAGTTAAATATTGTTTCGTAGAAAGCAAATAGAGTCAATTTGGAAATGATTATTTTATGTCTTCATTCAAAGGATATGTTGTATTTATATGGAACAGAATTAATGCATTTATTCCATCTTGCTTTATGATATCGGAACTTACATTATGCTTGCTTCTTATACTTTCTTTATGACAATGAAAACCTGCGTTTTGCTGAATTCAATTTCATGCTTATGATTACTGAATGCACTTTCATGTAATTGCAACCCCTTGTGTGTTCCCTACTAAACCATCAAACTAACATATTTTAATATTGCTATATGTTTAATTGCATCTTTTATTAAGGACAACGTATTAATGTTTGGTGTTTAAGATAACATTCTTTTTATCTATATGTAACATGGTAGTTGTATCTTTACTTTGCTATAAATCTGCCACTTATATTGTCGACATTATGTCAAAATTAACTATTCATTTTGATCAATAATTGCGCGAATTTGATGTGTCTTAGCATTCATATGCTTCAATATATTCACTGATTACAAATATAATGCAATACATGATCACTGCGCATCGACAACGAAGATGACAACGATAGCGATATTATAGTCGCATGTGACAGTACGCACTAAGCAGTTGGCAGTAAGCATAATGCGAGTTGCAATAATTTGTGTTCATATTATGACAGCAGGTGTCGCTTTGTCGGTACATCCCGTTATTTTTCCGGATGATCCCGTATTTTGGCACGTGGAGTAAACAAAGTTACGTCCACTTTATATAGGGGCGTATACAGAACAGTGTTAGTTGGGGACTGACATGTAAATTTACTGAAAAACAAGAGAACACGATGCGACAGACGAAAAGTGCGTGTTTTTGAAGATTCCGCCAGCATGTGGAAAAAAAAGTTATATATGTCTCTAATAACTCATCCTACAAGTGGCAACTCACCTCTTATACAATTGTTTACACTTCTTTTGAGCGTGTGTGATAAGTGAAATTGAATTTTATCAAATTTAAGGTGGCACAAATGTGACATGTGTGTGTTTTTATTTATCTCGTGTGCACGAGATACTGTGTGGTGGCCACGGGTTACTAAGTCGTGGCCACGAGATAGTTAAGTCGTGG